TACTGGAATAAAGATTTTTTTTTTCTTTTTTAAGATGTAAAAATATAAAAACCCTAAAACATATTATTATTAATTTGTACTCAGTAGCTGCAATTCCAATTTTCATGTTTTTAACTTTAAAGAGAACCAAAAACATGGATACTCCCAAATACATTTTCGCCCCCCATTTCCCACCTTAAAATGTGAAAATCCAAAAATCCTGAAACATGTCATTAATAATTTGTAGTCAGTAGCTGGAATTCCAATTTTCATGTTTCTAACTTAATAGAGAACAAAAAAATCGTTAGTCCCTTAGAAACTCTCACCCCCCGTTTTCCCCCCTTAAAATGTAAAAAATCCAAAAACCCTGAAACAGTTCATTATTTATTTATGCTCAGTAGCTGTAATTTAAATTTTCATGTTTCTAACTTTAAAGAACAAAGAGTTTCATTAAAAGCTCTCTCCCCCCATTTCCTCCCATTTCCCCCCTTTAAAGTTAAAATTTCCAAAAATCCTTTCTTAGCGGATGCTTACGTTATAAAATTAACCTATGTTCCAAATTTCAGCTTTCTAGGCTCAGTAGTTTTGGCTGTACGCTGATAGGTCAGTCAGTCAGGACAAATAATTTTATATATATAGATATTGTCTATTATAGTAAGAAGTTGTGGTTATTTTTGGTTACAGTAGTATTGACAGTGTAGTTTAAGTTCAAAGTTTACACCTGTGAAACATATAAAAAAATGTGCGTTTTCAGTTAACGAGAAAATATTTGTAAGCAATGCTTAAAATTCCTTAAGAATGGAAAATACTTCGTTTTCTGTAGAAGATACTTTGAAAAGACAAGTAATATGATGAGTGTAAGCAAATCAACGATATATAAAGTTATAATTGAATTAAAAAATAAAGTTGTTGAACCCTTAAAGAAAAATGCAGGAGGTAAGAAAACAGTGGAATTTACTGAACAAATTAAAAGCGGAATAAGAAGAAAAGATCACGATTTTTATTTTAAAAGAAAGATACCAACACGTGCCAATGTTTTGGGCGCAATCCTAAAATGGGAAAAATAAAACTAAAGGAAACTCGAATAGATTTGAAATTCAAGTGGGATAAACAGGATAGGAAAGCAACACTTATTGATTCTGGGGAAATTGTTTGTTGGAGACGGAGATACCTCAGAACCATGTTTAAATTACGTGCAGAAGGACACAAACATTCAATCTTCACGACAGGCTTTTTTAAAAGGATTATCTGCAGGATTGAAGGTTCCTTCCGGTAAAGAACGACGTCTAATTATAACTCATATTGGAAGTAATGACGGGTTTTCAAAACGTGGTTCTTTAATATTTCAACCTAAAAAAACCGAAGACTACCATAAAGATATGAACGCTGATGTTTTTGAAGAAGGGTTCTATTATAGTAATGGATAACGCTAGTTACCATTCCCGTCTAATTGGACGTGTGCCAAATACTTTATGGAAGAAAGATGATATCATTAAGTAGCTAACAGACAGAAACATTAACTTTCCAGAAAAATAAAAATATAGAACTAACAGAAATTGTGAAATTAAATAAGCCTCCAGTACGTTATGAAGTGAATGAAGAAAAACGCATGGTATTGATGTTGTGCATCTTCCTCCCTATCACTGCAAACTAAATCCTATTGAACTGATATGGGCACATGTTAAAGGATATGTAGGTCGACTTAATACGTTATTTAAAATAAAAGATGTAGAAGCGTTGTTAGAAACCTTCATATCTCTTGTTACGAAGGAAAATTGGCAAAAAGTAATCGAACATGTGTTAAAAGAAGAAGAAAACGTGGAATCTGGACAAAACCTTGGATGTCGATACTACAGTGCCATCTTTAATAATAACTCATCAAGTGAATATAGTGATTCAGAGACGTTTCCTGTTCTTTGAGAGTAGGCAAGCATTTCTATTTTATATTTAAATCTGTATCTGTAACGTGTGGAGGGTGGGTTACCCCCGCGGCATTTAGGCCTCATTGGGCCCATTGTGCATCCTTCTAAGATAATAGGCACCTCCTAGCTCGTGAGTCATCTTCTTGTTCGCACCCTCTGCAAAGGGCGGATTCTGACAGCCCCATGATATGGAGATGCTTTCGTACTTGATAATAATCAGTCAGAATGCCTGTGACCAGGCGCAGATTCTGTATAGTATTTGTTTGCTGCAGTGTTGTCAGGATAACTTAAGAGCTCCCTGGCAACTCTGCAGTTTCTTGTTTCATCCCATATTTCCTTGAATTTCACAAGGAAATGTTCTTCGATTAGGTCTGTCACTACCGATTTTGTCAGGCCAATAGAAGGGCCTGGTCTATCACTATCGATTTTGTCAGGCCAATAGAAGGGCCTGGTCTAAAAAGTATTTGGTTGGCTGCTTTCTTAGCTAGTGAATCAGCAAGACGGTTACCTTTCGATGTGGCGTGACGCTTCATCCATCTTAAGTTGACCACATTGTTGATGGATACTTCGGCCAAAGCTTCGTGACATTCTAGTACTAACCCTGAGTAAATTCGTGGTCTGTACAGGGTGAGTAGTGCTTGTCTGCTATCTGTATAGATGAGAGCATGTTTCTCCCAGTGATACTGTTTCTGGTTATTTCTTTTGCAGCTTCCTTCCGCTTTGGCAATCTATCCATTTTCTACTAGATTATTTTTAACAGGTGCCTGTATGGATCATTTGGTTGATTTTGCAGCCATGGAACGTCTATTTTTTTGGCTACTAGTGATTTACTGCTACTGGTAGGCCCTACTCTAGTAAGCTGCTAATGATTGTCTCATTATCTTGGTCGTCTTGGTTTGATGAACTTCTTCTGTCATCCAGATGAAGAAGAATATTCAACTGAAGAGGAAAAACTTTATATTCTGAAAAGGAATTTGTTAACTTACTATATCCATCATTTACGTTTTCAACCAGATCCAGTTAGTGTCGAGGAACTGAATAGACAAGTTGTGTTAAGAACTTATAGCGCCACCTTGCGGCGAGAGTCAAAACTGCAAGAGGTGCCATCTTGTGACTGTAAAGAGTGCGTTCCTTGCTTTGCAGGAGTGAAAACGTTGGTGTTGAACCTCCCGGCCAGGGGGCGAATTGATTTAATTACGACTTTTTTGAGCATTGGTGATCGAACGATATTGATGTATTGATTTCTTGTCTGGTCTTGTGTCTTGTCGTGTATTGTAACGATTGTACTGATTGTAGCCATAATGATAATAAGCAACATTGTCATAAAGAATTTATTGTGTTTTCGTAATAAAGTTTGTTTTTAACCTGGGAACCTTTTGTGAAAATTATTTGCAAGTTAACAAGTTGCTCCAAGGCTTCGGACAAATATGACTTCCGAATTAAGTTCTCTGGAACCAGACTTGGCTGGTGAAACAAGCTCTTGTAGATACAATAAGAATAATTTGCATTCTGTTTATGATGTTAATGCTGCCGAAAGGATCGTTGAAAATTCTAGCAGTCGTAAATGTTGGAATTGTGGAGCTTTTGGTCATGGTTTTCAGAATTGTAAGAAGAAGTGCGAGGGAAAATTTTGTGTTCGCTGTGGTAAACCTGGTGTTACTTCTACTCGTTACTTCTGTGATAGTTGTTCAAAAAACGGAAGATCAAACTGTCGGTAGGTGGGACTTCGGTTATAAAAATGAATAAACCGACTAGTGATTCTTGGAGTTCTTGGTTGCAATTTGTTAAAACAGAATATCGTCACCAATCACTCAATGGTTACTTTCATACTAAGGAGGGTGATTCTCTTTCATATTGTAGTGTACATATTTATGGTATTGATTTTGTAGGTCTTTTAGATAGCGGTGCTTCGTCTACAGTAGTTGGTAAATCAGGTTGGGATAGATTTCAAAATTTAAATATTAATTTAAAACTTGAAAAGGCTAAATCGTCTATCCCAGTGGTGATCTAAGAGGTGCTAAAGTTTTGTCATCCATTGATTTTAAAAGTGCGTATTGGCAGGTTCCACTTGAAGAATCGTCTAAAGAAAAGACTGCTTTTACCTGTCCAGGTAAAGGACTATTTCAGTTTACTAGGATGTCCTTTTGACTAAAGAATGCTCCATATTGTTTTCAGAGAATAGTAGATCAGTTGGGTGTTGATTTTGAACCCTATTTATTCGTCTATTTAGATGATATAATTGTTGTTACTCCGGATTTCGATACCCATTTAAAAGTTCTGAAAGATCTTTTTGTACGATTAGAACATATAGGTTTTACTGTAAATAAAGATAAATGTAAATTTGTTAAAAATGAATTAAAATATTTAAGGTACGTAGTTGATAAGTATGATTTGACCCGACTTACTTCTTAAAATCAAAAATTTGATAAATGTTGACATAATACGCTTCATTAGAAATTGTGACGTTTGCAAATCTCAAAAACCGGAGCAAAATTTCCCTCACGTATTATGAAACGTCGTGTTATAGATTATTCTTGGCAATGCGTATGCACTGATTTAATGGGTTCTTTCCCCATTTCAAAGAAGAAAAATAGTTTTGTGTTAGTTATATTGGATATGTTTACAAAGCATTCTCTGTTATTTCCTTTGAAAACAGCTGTATCTAGTGCTGTCGCCAAACATCTTGAAGAAGACGTCTTTTTAATGTATCTCAAATTTTAATGTGACAATGGTAAGCAATATGTTGGCCATCAGTTTCAGAAAATGGTTAAATTGTATGATTGTAATTTTATTTATAATGCAGTGGATAGTCCGCAATTTAATCCATGTGAGAGAGTTATGAACTGTTCTTTTATTAATGAAAATCGGAGGGACTGGGATATCAATTTACCAAAATTAGGTTTTGCTCTGGCAGTGACAGCGGATAATTTTCAACTAACCACAATTTTCGATGCCTCTCTGGTGTCTGCAAAAATACCCACGGTCTTTCATAGAAGAAACCGACACGGCCTACACTCTTAACGTTTAAGTTTTACCAAAAAAGAAGTTTTTTTTATATTTTTTTGCTAATATATTTAATTTCAATTCATCATTTTACAGGAATGATAGTATAAGAACGGAAGCCTCAGAAGAGCAACGAAAGGCATTAGCGACTAGAATAGAATCTCAAGTGTTCCATATAAGGACTGCGGTTGCTCCTTCACTATTACAACTACATCCATTTGATCAACAAATAGCCGTCGCTGGAAACGACGGTTTTGCGTAAGTTATACAATGTTAAATAATACGCCATATTAATGTGACACAGTTAGGCATTTAAAAATAAAATGGCTGCCCATGGGTAATGACAGAATATCATATGGAAACCCTGTGGACCTGGTGATTTGACAAGCTCAATGATGTAGATAGTTATATAGATTGATCATCTATGTTTTTCAAAATTATGTATTGAAGTTAAAAAGTATATGACTATATGACTGTATGACTATATGACTATATAACTATACAGGGTATCTGTAAAAGGTCTTTACAAAAACATACCACATATTCCTTAGACCAAAATAAGTCGATTTAAGTAAAATTACCTTAGTACAAAGTTGCTTCGTTTGGGCTCCAGAGGGCATTGAAGTTACAATTTTTAAATCGTTTTTCCCATATAAATTTAAAACGGCATATGCGATTTTGCTGAAATTTTGTCCGATAATAATACATAGGCGTAGAACATGATTTTTTAAATAATTGCACCTTTAAAAATTCTACGCCAATGGAAGAAAAAGAGTTTGATTATGAAATTGCGATTGCGCAACTCATTTACTTTAAAAAAGGTATTCTTGATAAGACTCGATTACTCTCATGGTTTTGACGAAATTTGCATTTTAGTAATTTTAGAACATAAACAATAATTATTAAAATACTAACTTTGTCAAAACCATGAGAGTAAATCGAGTGTTATCAAGGGTACTTTTTTGTAGTAAATGAGTACCCAATCCAAATTTCAAACTCCTTTTTTCAATTTCTTCAATTTTTTCCGATATGAAAAACGAAATTTCCTCTTTAAAAACCAAAGTTTCGTCAGATATGTCTTCTATGAAAATTGATATTTATTCTAATATTTCCTCATTAGAAAATAAAGTTTCTTCAGACATTTCCTCCTTAGAAAGTAAAGTTTCTTCCTTAGAAGAAAAGGTGACTTCTGACATATCTTCTTTAAAAACCGATTTAGAAAACAAAATCTCTTCTTTGAAAGATTAAATTTCTTCTGTCTTCGCTAAAAAATGAAATTTCTGCTAATGTGGAAAATAAGATGACTTCCGTTGAAGAGAAAATAAAAGAGATGGAAAAGTAGATAGAAGAACTGGAACATTCAGACCCGACCAAGACCGGTGAAATAAAGTGTCTTGAGGTGGAGTCAAAGTTAGAATTGGGAAGTAGTTGTAATCCCCAACCTTCGACGGAAACATGTCATGGACCAACTACTTAAACAGTTCGAGACAGCTGCGAGAGCAAACGAATGGTCTGAGAGAGAAAAGGCAGTGAATCTGACAATCGCCCTTCGAGGAGATGCTTTAGATGTCCTTCAGACCATACCCGTGGAAGAGACAGATGCTTTTGAACAACTGAAAAAGAGACTCAACATGCGATATGGCCACGAACATTTGGAGCATCTATACCAGTCACAGTTAAAGAATCGCAAACAGAAACGAGACGAGACTCTTCAAGAATACGAAGTAGATATTGCCAGATTGGTGCGATTTTCTTACCCATCAGCTCCGGAAAACATGATGGAATTTTTATCAGTCCAAACATTTGTTGATGGACTCCGTGACCACGAGATGCAGAAAACACTCCGCTTAGCCCGCCACAAAACATTGGTCGATGTCTTGTCTGCTGCTTTAGAATATGAGGCAGCTATGCAGGCTTCTGGAGGATACAGTAAAGTGAGAACTGTAAAACAAGAAATAAACTCGACCAACTAGTTAACATAATGAAGGCCTTTACTGATAAAAAGATGAAGACATAGACCATCAGATGCTGGAATTGTGGTGAACTGGAGCATGTACGCTGTTCGTGCAAACGCCCTAGGGTCCCAACAACTGAAGACAACACGCTGCAGGAAAACTAGAGCGGGTCGGCCTAGAGGGGGCAGCTTCGACCCGAAACCGTTCCAAAGACCCTCTCATACTGATAACCTCTGAAATGTCGCGATGATAGTGTATACGTAGACGGCGAAGTAAATGGTAAAAAGTATATACTGTTGGTGGATACTGGAGCCACTAGGACCATTATACGACCAACAACCATAAAGAACTGTAAGAGACTTCTACCAACAAGATTGCGACTGCGGACTGCCACAGGTGAAAGTGCCAACATCCATGGGGAAATCCAGGTTCAATTGGGAATTGATAAAGAAAAGTTCACTCATACTGTTGTCGCTAATATTGAAGATGTGATTTTTGGAATGGATGTAATGAACTTACATGGTTTCCAGTTGGACTTTAAAAACAGAGTGATCAAAGTTGGTGCCGAACAGGTATTCCTACATCCATATGGGGACAGTACCGTGCCAGTTGCTGTACAGGAGGATACGGTGGTACCCGGTAGAAGTGAAACCGTTATAGTAGCACGGCTTCAAGAAACTATGGAAGAAGGAACACCTGTCATGATGGAACCTTGGAACCACGATGAAGAGGTTGGACGAGGCATTCTGATCGGAAAGGGGTTGATCACGACTGCTAAAGAAATTCCAGTCCGTCTCATAAACGTTAATGATCACCCGATTACCATCAAGAAAGAGACCAGAATCGGAACTTGTGTACCAGTAACTTCCATAATTCGTCAGACAACAACTTCTGATAATTCCAACGACAAATTCGAGCAAATGCTTGCAGTTGCTGGTCAATCTCTGAATCCATTAGAGAAAAAGAAAATAAAGGAATTTCTTCGACGATATCGTGACATTTTTGTACCAAAAGGAGGAAAAACAGGAAGAACTTCTGTTGGAAAACACAAAATTGATACTGGTGACGCCAGGCCGATTCATCAATCAGCTCGAAGGTTACCAAAGGCCAAGAGAGAGGAAGCTGAAAGGATTGTTCAAGAAATGAAGGAAGACAGTGTGATAGAACCTTCTACCAGCCCATGGGGCTCTCCGGTAGTCCTGGTCCAGAAAAAGGATGGAACTACGAGGTTCTGTGTGGATTACCGTCAGATGAACAATGTTACCAAGAGAGACAGTTACCCTCTGTCTCGTATCGACGATACCTTGGACACATTGGCCGGAAGTAAACTATTCTCTACCTTAGACTTGAAATCTGGATACTGGTAGGCGGAAATGGACCCAGTAGATAAAGAAAAGACAGCTTTTACCACCGGATCTGGATTGTGGCAATTTAATGTCATGCCATTTGGACTATGTAATGCCCTCGCGACATTTGAAAGACTTATGGAAAATGTATTGAGAGGGTTATCCTGGAAAACATGCCTGGTGTATTTAGACATCATAGTCTTGGGGAAGACATTTGATGAACAGCTAAGATGTTTTTAAAAGAATTCAAGCTGCCTAACTGATGCTAAACCCCAAGAAGTGCCAACTATTTCAAAATAAAGTTAATTATCTGGGTCATGTAGTCAGCAAGGATGGCGCGACTGTAGATAAGGAAAAAGTCGCTTCTATCAAAGAGTGGGCACAATCAAAGGATTAACACCAAATAAGAAGTTTTCTTGGGCTGTGTACGTACTATCGAAGATTCATAAAGAAGATTGCCAATATTTCTAAACCACTAACGTGATCCATAGAAGAAGCAAGATAATTCTGCTGAGAGGAAGACTGCCAAACTGCCTTCGAAACTTTAAAGAAGCATTTAACAACAGCGCCAATATTAGGCTACCCACTACCAGAGGGATACTGATGCCAGTAATGTGGGAATTGGAGGAGTGCTTCCACAGATTCAAGGGGGAAAAGAAAGAGCACTGGGTTATTTTAGTAAAATGCTCTCGAAACCTGAGCGGAATTACTGCGTCACGAGAAGAGAACTCCTGGCAGTTGTGAAATGCGTGGAACACTTCTACCAATACCTATATGGACGGAAATTCTTAATCCGTACCGATCATGCTGCTCTTAAGTTCAAAAATCCAGATGGATTGAGCGACTTCAGGAGTACGACTTTAAGATCGAACATAGAGCTGGAATTAGCCACAGAAATGCCGATTCCCTTTCTAGAAGACCGTGTCCAGCAGAGTGTTCCCACTGCAACAAAGCGGAATCCAAAGAAAGGCTACTAAGAACAACTGTAGTCAACGATGAGTGGGCCCCTGCTAAAATTAGGGAAGAACAAGAAAACGATACCGTCCTAAAGAAGATGCTACAATGGAAAGAGGAAAATCGTCGATCTACTTGGCAAGAATCTCTCTCCAGTACTTAAGTCGTATTTGGCTCAGTGGGACTCCTTTATCCTGGAAGATGGCTTATTAAAGCGAGTACTTGAAAATGATAATGGTTCCGAGAACAGAAGACAGTTGGTCATTCCAAGAAGTAGAGTAGCTGAAGTACTCCGTCAGTTACACGACAGTCCATCAAGAGGACATCTTGGTGTTAGAAAAACCCTTCAGAAAGTTCGGAAAAGGTTTTATTGGATGAATAGTTCCGATGATGTAAAGGACTGGTGTAAGAAATGTACCAGCTGTGCTATGAGTAATGGACCTCAGCGAAAAAGGAAGGCTCCCATGAAGCAATACAACGTTGGTAGCCCATTTAAGAGGATCGCCTTAGATATTGCTGGACCATTCCCCATGACCGAGAATGGTAATAAATACATGATGGTGGTTATGGATTACTTCACGAAGTGGGTGGAAGTCTACGCCATTCCAAATCAAGATGCCGCAACTGTTGCAGATGTGTTGATTAAAGAGTTTATCTGTCGATTTGGAGTACCCTTGGAGATCCACAGTGACCAAGACAGAAATTTTGAAAGCCAACTCTTCCGTGGAATCTGTGACAGGCTAGGCATGAAGAAAACCCGAACCACAGCATTGCACCCACAGCGAATGGTTTCAAACCATCAGCGAGATTGGGATCAGTATCTTTCGCTCTTTGCAATGGCTTACAGATCCGCTGTCAATGAATCAACAGGCCACACACCAGCAAAGGTTCTGTTTGGGCGTGAGATGAGATTACCGTGCGACCTTGAGTTTGGATGCCGACCTGGAGAAGATGTAGCTGGTGAAGATTATGTGATCCAATTACGAAGAAGAATGGACGATAT